ATGCTGAGGAGGTGGTAGTGCATAAATTGCTTTGAAAAGGCATCTCCATGTTCTGTCTGTCCTCTGTTGTAGCAAACTAGTGTTCTGCAGGAGGAGATAGTCGGTTGGTAACTTTCAGTGCCGGCCGACTACCAAAATAGTGCCGGTGATCCTATTTTTTGGTCGATGACCATAATTCCATGGCTGGTGGTGTTTCCTCTTGGTCGGTGACCTCCCACAGTGCTCAGGGAGTAGTCCAGAAGTAACCTTGAGACTTGTGTAGTCCTCAGAGGTGCAAAGCAGTGCAAGCAGAGGCAACATGTGACATGGCGGTGGATTTTCGAGCGGAGCCGAGCGTGCATGCATTCATCCCTCTTCCCGAAGCTGTTTTACTGCTTTCAGTAATTTAATTAATTTGTTTAATTAATTAAGGGTCTGTAATATTTAATTAGCTTGTTAGTTAATTAGTTCGTATTATTCATTCGGACCTTCCGAGAGAGGGCAATTTTGTAATAAGCGTGCATGTGTATGATGCATGTCTTCCAACCACCATTTCTTTCTCCATTTTACTTAACCGCTTATGATGGTTAGTTCTAGGGCACGTTTCAATTAGCATACCTTATACTATGCATGTTTGTATTCATTCATTTGTATTGCATGCACCAGGCTCGGCGCATCATACTAACTGCATTGTATTTAAATTCCAACTTGAATACGTGTATCAAATTGTCGTATATCATATGCCATCTTAGATTAGCCGAGCCTATTCTAGTTGCATTTTGCCTACGATGCATTAGCCATCTTAACATGGATTTGGATCATACATTTGATTACTAACATATTCCTTGTTTTAGCTCGGAGTACATTGTGAGTATTTATGCTTTAGCATCTTGCATGTATGTGAGTTTTGCCATGATAGCACGCTTACCATAAGGCTATGTGCTTATGTGATATAACTAGTTGAATGCTTGTGGGTGAAGGTTGGGTTGCTTGAATTGGAATAATTCGTCGAAACCCGTGTTTTAGTCTACTTGCAAGTAGCAAACTTCAAACTATTTTCAAAACAAACGGATATGCGATGCTTTGTTCCAAATTAGGTGATCTAGTCTATACTTGTGTGTTGTGCGCATCACATACTAAATGCTAGCTAATTAACTGGAATAAGAACACATATGTTTTCAAAATTCGATATCATGCTTAGTACAGGCCGATCTTCGGATCGGGTGAGGGGGGGTGCTCATAGCTGACCTTCCCCAATTGTACCCAAGTTCCCGAGATGAGGCAACTTTGGTGATGACGGACACGTGGCCTTGGGCACGAGTCAGGGTTTCCTAAATTTCTCCAAAATAAATATTTAGGTGGTGACTCTGTATCTGGCAAAGTAGTCTATGTTTGACACTTCTTTCTTAAAAATCAGTTTTCCAAAACGATTTGCTGGATTTGGACTCTTTGGTGATTTATCGATCTCACATCGCACATTGTGAGATTAGATTCAGAACCATGACATATTGAGTCCGAACTGTGGAGAAGCATAAGCCCTCGACGGCGCGTCTACTGAGAGGAATCACGATTTAAGAGGAAAAAGGGAAGAAAAATCATGAGAGAAAAAATGGTTTGGGCCTATTTATAGTAGTGAGGAAAAGCCCTAAGGTCAAATAAAATAATAGGCCCCAAAACCCCCTTAGATAGGGCTCTTTCGAACCTCAAAAAATTTATAAAAAAAACACGCAGGAGTCGACCCTTAGATAGGAGGGGGTCGACCCTATCTTCCAACAACCAACACACAGACATAAGAGGGTTGACCCTCTCCCAGTCTGGTGTTTGCCCTATCTTCCAGTAACTAACACACAGACATAAGAGGGTCGACCCTCTCCTAGTCTGGTGTCTACCCTATCTTCCAGCAACTAACACACAGACATAAGAAGGTCGACCCTCTCCAGTCTGGTGTCTATCCTATTTTCCAGCAACACTCCCAGAAACTTCACCAACAGGTAAGGGTCAACCCTTAGGAAGGCTAGTGTCGACCGTAGAATAGAATTTTTAAGTCTCCAAGGAACTTTTGACAAGAATAAGTGCGAACAACCAAACCCAACAAGTTTAAATCGGATTGTACTCCTCCAAAACCAACATACATAACACCAAAGACTTCCAAAATAAAATAATAAAAAAAAAAGATTCGAATACACTTCCCCAAAAGCTTTGAAGGATACAAGTGCTAAAAAAATATAATCGCATAATATTACTTCTTTTAAAAATCTATATATGGAGTGTAAAATCTATCCTTAAGATATAAATCGTAATAGACTTCACTGTCAATATTAACTGTAGCCAAATAACATGTACAGTCTAAAAAATTAGGTCAAAAAAAGAATCAAGTCTAAATTCGAGTTTTTATCAATAGATTAGTTCTTAAACAGTAAAATAGTTAAACTAAAGTTTGTGGGTGTTCATTTACATTATTTTATATATAAATATGTTTTATTTATTTATTTAATAGGTTAATTTTAATAGTGGCATATAATTCAAATAATGAGAATTGTTTTAGTGGGTCTAGACCAAGAAAAATTATCTGAAGGAATAAGTTAATATTCCTAAATAGTTGAATGAGTATTGGTGTAATTAATATTTTTAATATGAAAGTTAAATTTATATATATACATATTAATTTTAAAATCAACAAAATATTGGTCTTAGACTTTGGCATGAGCTATTTTGGTTAAATTAATCAATAAAAACAAAACATGTTAATTTAGTCAATAAGATAAAATATCACATTTAAACCATAATCATTTCACTTTTTCTTGTACAACTATTAAATCAACTACAAAAAGCCAAAATTTATCCCAAACATAACTTTTTTAATCAGGTTAAAATGGACAAAAATTCAAGCTAAGTTAGCTCATCCCAAACAAGAGCTTAATGGTGGAGCCAGACCAAAATAATGGTTTTCAGGTAGGCCTTAGATGGGCGTAGCTTAAGTTTGAACTTTAATTTTGATTTTTAATGGTTGACTTGCATGATGCTGCTGCTATATGTTTTGTTGGAATGATTTTTTCTTTCTACTGCCTTGTGGATCAGAGCTTTGTGAGACCATCAAGGTAAAGGAATGCATCTAAGGTCTGCTGCTGGTTTGGGGAAAGGTTTGTTGCTGGCTGCTGCTATGGGGTTTGTTTGGGTCTGTCATGTTTTTGCTGTTTTCTTTTTCTTTCTGTTGGTTCCTCACCAACTTTCATGGCTTGAGCTTGTATATGTTTGTGCTCTTGCCTCCTCTTTATTGATGTAATTCATATGTTATGTATGGCTTTCTTATCAATAAAGTTTCTTGATTTGCTGATCAAAAAAAAAAATAAATAATTTGATATATTTGAAGGGAGATTTGGAATAACCAAGAAAAGGGACTCCTTTTGTTCGCTTTGCTATTTTATTCTGTAAATTAATCTTAATGTCAACCATTTTTATTGAGTTTCATAAAGAAGATAAAAGGGTAAAAATTAATTGACGTATTTGATTTGCTATATTATCGGATGAACTCTAACATAAGATAAACTACAATTACAAAATTTCAATGACATAGTTTTTTTTTATGTTTTACTGTAAGTATAATTTTTATAATTTATTCTATTTTTTGCTTTTATTTTTTACTAATTACGTTGTAACACATTTTTGTTTTTAATATGTAGAACGCACCATTGATGACAAGACTAAAATAATAATAATTGTAATTATTATAAAAATAATTAAAAATCATTTGATTTTAAATCTCTTTTCTGTCTACATTTTAAAATATTTTTTAAATATATAATTTATTCTATTTTTTGCCTTTATCTTTTACTAATTACGTTATAACACATTTTTGTTTTTAATATGTAGAACGCACCATTGATGACAAGACTAAAATAATAATAATTGTAATTATTATAAAAATAATTAAAAATCATTTGATTTTAAATCTCTTTTCTGTCTACATTTTAAAATATTTTTTAAATAATATATAATATTAATATTATTTTTTAATTATTTGTGTGATACCGTGCATAGCACGTGTATAATGCTAGTATATATATATATATGACAATGTTAGGAAATCGATTTTCCTAATCAGGATTGATAGGACACAAAATAGTAAACAAAAAAAATAAAATGAATCAAAGAGAATAGTTACTGTGATTTCACTATAATCAGAAAACAATTACGACTCTCTCCAAAAAATAGACACCTTTTTTTTATTATTTATAAACATAAAAATTAAAATAATCCTTCCCTTGAGAGAGGTCCCCAAACTCTTTATTGGACCAAAGACCTACTGTACAAGATCCACAAGACCTAACAAACAATCTATATGATGTAAAGTGTAATAAAATCAAAATTTAGTCTAATAGCATACCAATTCGTCCTCCTCTTTTCTTTTCTCCGATCAAATTCAAAATCTTAATACAAAAATCCTTATTAGCATTTTCCTTTGTAAATTTCAAATTATTTGTTTCAATATAATACTTACAATATGTATATTATAAGTGGATTTATTTCAATAAAATGTAAGCGTAGATTTATTTTAAAAATTTTCTTTTATCCCGAATCATGTTTCTTTCTTGTTGAGAATAATAAAAAAATATAAAATAAAATGAAATCTCACATCTCTGTTATTGGTAAATTATTACTTAAACCTATTATGAACCATTAAAATATAAAAAATGATATACAAGTCCACTTTCTAGACCCAATGATGTGTAAGTGATATAATTGGTTAATTATTAGAGAAAATATGAGAGACAATATTGCGTTAAATATCCTAATTAATTGCCCCATCACTGGACTTGAAAATTTGACCAAATTTTTTTGCCTTGAATAACAATACTCTTAAGATATAGTAAACCAACAGTCATGCTTTACAATTACTCAAAAACAATGCAAAAACTTAAGATAATTGAAATTAAACTTTCAATCACCCTGTGTAGTTGCACTCTACCATATTCAATCTGCTGCATAAAAGGCTGCATTTTATACATCAATTTTCCAAGAACCTCTTATACATGACACGACCCATATTGGACTGTGGTCTCATCTGGCAAAGTCTCCATAGAACCTCCACCATCGACTTTGCTACAACCTAAATCAGTTGTAGTTGAAGTTATTGTAGAAGAGTTAAGTGACAAGCATACCAAATTAGGCTACAATTCGGGCAAATTCAAGGGAGGCTCCATGAAAACCTGAACCACCTTTCTCATCCGAGGCCGGAGCATAAAATCTGGATGCAAGTTTTCTTCCTCAAAAGAGGCAAATGGAGGGGCAAGCTGGAAGAGCTGATGGCAAGAGATTTGAAGGGGGTTTGCAACCGGTGTTTTATAGAGGGAGAGCTGCCGGTCCTAGACGAAGTGGTCCAGGCTTGAAGCTGTTTTCCATTTTTGTTGACAACCTTCCGTATGATATGGATCCTAAAGGCATGTTTATTATGTTCTCTAAGTGGATTTGGAGGCTTGTTCCAATTGCAATGTTATGGTCAGTATGGAGGCTAAGAAATGAGTGTGTCTTTAAATAAAATCAGCCTAATATGGAAGAGCTTGGCGAAATAGTGAAAGTGAGGGTTGGGTTGTGGGCCAAGTCTGGGCAGCCCGGGTTTCAATACTCCGTGCATGACGTAGTGGCCAATCTGAATCAGGTGACTTCTTGTATTTAGGGCTCTGCTGCTGGGTTGTTTGTGCTTCTGTGGTGTGTGTGAGTGGTATGTTGCCCTCTGTGTAGTCTGCTTCAGGCCAGAAGGGGTGTGTAAGCTTCTGCTCTAGTCTGCTTTAATCAAGGTAGTCAGCCAATTGGTTTTAGGGGACTCAGGTTTGGCTCAAGGAAGTCTGCTGGCAGTCCTGTTTGCTGGTTTGATGCTGCCAGATCTGGTTGAATCTGGGAGGTTCCAGTTTCTGGTCTGTCAAGGCAGTGCAGAGGCCTGATTGGCTCTGGTCTGTGAAGGCAGTGCTTTTCCTTCAGTCTTTGTTGTCTGGGTGCTCCAGCAGAGTTGCAGATCTCCTTCAGTCTGTGTTTTGCTTTGTTTTTTGGCTTTGGCTGGTTTCTGGTTCGGCTGTTTTGTGGTTTGGGTTTGGTGATTGTGGTTGGTTTCTCACCAACTCACCATCTTTCCCCTTTCCCTTCCCCCTCCCCTTCTTCTTTTTGTTGTTTTCCTTTCTTGATTTTCATCAATAAAGCTTCATTTTCTTCGCTGATCAAAAAATAAATAAAATCTGGATGCAAACAAGCAAGCCCTAGAACCAAACTCCTTTTCACTTCCTCCTCATCAAATTTCCCTTCAAGCAATCTATCCACGCAATCGAGCAATGCATCGACACCCTTTTCGTATAACGTCCATACGCTATCCACTATACTATTCTCATCCATGATGCCTTTTGATCTCTTCCCACAAACCACTTCCAAAACCACCATTCCAAAGCTATAAACATTAGACTCTGGGGTAGCCCTACCCGTGAAGCTAACCTCTGGCGCCAAATACCCTAGTGTCCCTGCTATCCTGGTTGTGACCGAGGCTTCGTTTTGAAGTAGCCTAGCAAGGCCAAAGTCGCCTATATGTGCATTGTATTGTGAATCCAACATGACAGTGTTTGGCTTCGCATCTCTATGTACAACAGGGTTGCCACATTCTTCATGTAGATAAACTAATGTTGATGCTAATCCTAGTAATACCTTGTACCTGGTTGCCCAATCAAGGAAGGTGTTGTCCTTGCCGATGAAGCAGTCAAGGCTGCCATTAGGCATATATTCGTAAACTAGTAGGAGTTGGTCATGGTCATAGCACGAACCTTGGAGTCGTAGTAAGTTTTTGTGCCTTAGGCGGCTAATAGTGTAGATTTCTGCCAAGTATTCCTTCTCACCTAGATTAGACAGAAAAATGGTTTTGATACGTGAACACATGATGACAATTTTCAAAAGAGCAATGCTATACATAATTCTATTTTAAATTAATATCAATAAAATAATACATTAATTATAAATCAAATCTTGACAACAACAATCCAAGTCCTAAAACCAAAAAAAAAGAAAAAAAGAAAAAAAAAATAGAGAGCTTAGGTTATAGAATATATAAACTTTCATCAGGTCAAAAAAAATGGGTATATTTTCAGGACAAGTGCTGGCAATACTTGGTAGTGGTAGCATTGCATTAATCCTAGTGGAGTATGAGTCCAATTAAAATGAATGCAGTGCTGTCAGTATTAATAAACGGGATATGAAAAGCAAGCAAACCTTGTTTTGATGTGGCATTGATTTTTTTTACAGCAATACTGGTGGGAGGTTTCGACATAACCCATTTGTAAACACTGCCAAAACCTCCAGTTCCCAACAAGTTGTCTTTGCCGAAGTTGCGAGTCGCCTTTGAAAGTTTTTTGTAAGGGAAGAGTTGTGGTCCATTTGCTGCTGCTGTCATCACTTCAATGTCTACGCAAGCCTCTCTCTTTGTATTCTAAGAGCTCTACGCACAAATGGTAAAGCCAATATTGCAAGAAACAACATCCCAGAAATGACTGGAACAGCTACTTTCACTCCGAGGTTGTTTTCTGTCCCCAGAGATTTGTTTGGCAATTCAATGGATGTGCAGTTCCAAGCTAGAACTTGATGGGTTTCAGATAGAGTACCTGTGTAAAGACCGAAGCGGGCTAGGTCAATTTTTATTTTCAAAATACGACATCAAATTTAATTGGAAATTTGGTGCTAAATTGGAATTAGACTAATATCCCTCGTGTAATAAAGAAATTACAGTTTGCATTACAGTTTGGCTTAACACTTTGGCCAATACTGTTAGTCATTTGTTGGTTAAACAAATAAGAAATAATCAGGCTGTCTAGTAGACTAAAAAATTTATTTTATTATGTTCAAATAATGATTTGCATTAAGAACTCATATTTTTATTTTTGAATAATGTATATATTATTGGAAAATAAGAATAATTAGGTAAATTCATTAGATACAAGGGAGTGTAATTGTTTAATTTGACATCAATATATACAGTGGCGGAGCGAGGAATTTAGTGAAGAGGGGGCACAAATTAATAACAATATTGATTTTATTTTTTCCTCATAATAAACAACAATGAGATATTACTAAACGTAAATATTAAGAATTTATTTGGATAGAGGTGAATTTTAAATTAAAGGATTTGAAGTTAAATTTTATACAAATATTGTGGAGTAACTATTTTAGGTGGATTGAAAAATTAAAAAAAAAAGATAAGTTGAGATAGAAATGATATATTTTAATAGGGAAATTCTATAAAACACACCACAAAAAAAAATGTCTATCGTATGTCACAGTTATAATCTGTGTGCTCTTTAGTTATGACACATTATAGTGTTGGATATAACTTCTTGTGGTTGTTATTTAGTTATGATTGAAGAGGTCTTTGATTATACATCAAGTAATGATTCGTAATGACTCAATTTGATATTAGTTATGACTTATTGTAAAAACAGTTTGTGTGTGTGTATGTGTGTGTGTGTGTGTGTGTGTGTGTGTTTTATAATTGAAGATGTGTTGTTTAGTTATAATTTATATAGTAGTCATTTTAGTTATGAATGAAAATAATTTTGTAATGAAAATTTATAATATCAATGCCATAAAGTAATAATTAGTATATGGTACACTCCTTCTGGAGGTGTATAATAGAAGGACTTATTTTAGTAGGTTCATTGCAATTAGAAAGAAAATTTATAATAGAGAGACTATTATAATTTGAAGAAGGGATATTATTATAATTTTATAGAAGTTATATATAATATAATCTATATATATAGGGGTATCAATATAATTATCAAAACTTGAGGGGGGCACGTGCCCCCTTGGGCACACATGGCCTCCGCTCCTGAGTATATATAATATAGGGGAAAATATAAATAAATTGTACTTTAAAAAATAATTATTAATTCACGGAAAAATTTATAAAATTTATCATTAATTTGAATTTTATTTTCGAAATACGCAATGACATGTTATTCTCTCTATAACATTTAAAGACAATATATAATATTTAAGGACAATATATAGTAGTAATGTCACCACTTATAGCGATCCTGGTTTTGATCCAACCTTTATTACGTTCCGGACTCGGGTTCCGTGGTTGTATATTGTGTCTATGTCTCGTTTTTCTCTTTTAACTCTTTGAATTTAAGCTTTGGAATATGTTGGACGTGTTTGGAACAGGTTGGTTGTTACATGGTTTAGATTGTTGTTGCCTAAATTTTGGCCTCTTCACTCGAACAAGACTTCTTGCGCTCGAGCGAGCCTTGTGTAATTTGCTTCTTCGCTCAAGTGAGGTTTCTTGCGCTTGAGCGAGAATTGAAAGTCCTCAGATCTCTCTCCTAGACGCAACTTTTCTGGGAAGGTGAAGTTCTTCGCTCGAGCGAGGCTTGTGAAATTGCTTCTTCACTTGAGCGAGGTTTCTTGCGCTCGAGTGAGCATGTGCATTTGTGGTAGACCTGAAGCTTTGCATTATGTGCTCGAGTGAAGCTTCTTACGCTCGAGCAAGGTCACTTGTTGTGTCTGGTCGCTCAAGCGACAACTCCTTCGCTCAAGCGAAGAACACGTATAACAGTTCGCAACTGGGTCTTTTTACATCACTTTTTGATTTCATTTCTTCCCAAAACCCTAATCTGGCACACTCTCTCTCTAAAGCTCTCTCTCTCTCTCTCTAAAAATACTTCAAGATCCAAGCACCTCTCAACCCTAGTCCCTTTGTTAAAGAGTTAGACTATTTCGTGGGCTTCCTCTTGATCCGAACAAAACCGAGTTTGGAGCAATTTTTGAAGTTCTTCTTCACCTCCTTTGGGCTTCTACTCTTGAGGTAGGGATATTCTACTCTTTGGTATGGGTTTTAACCTAGGTATTTTTCATTTTGTATAAATGGTGGAGTTTGGGAAGATTTGGGTGAAGCTAAGGTTTGGGTTTGAATTTTGCAAGAGGGGTTTTCTATATTTAACTTTCATATCTGTAGATAAGGGCTTGCTTATGATGTTATATGAAAATAAATGGTGAGGTTGGGTTTTGGGTATGATATTGGGAAAAAAGGGAAAGTTTTTCCCTAATTTGTGTTAAACAATTATTTTGAATAAACAATGAAATTGATGTGGGAAATATGAAATTGGAAGGGTGTATGACTGAATGGTATAGTTGGATTTGTTAAATCACTAATTTTCCCATATATATGTATATATATATATATATATATTTAGGTACATTGGAAAATAATTTCCCCATATGTTTTCATTACTATATTTACAATTAGAGTTCTAATTCTCACTCTCTCTCATCCTCTTACTACAGCAACAGCAATTTGCGATGGCAACAATCTAGCGGCAACAAGATTGTGACTATTGATCAAAAACGCACAATTAATCATAACCAAAACATGGAAATTGTGATAACCCAACTCGTATTATGCTTAATTATACATGTGTTTACGTGTTTAATATGAATTTGCAAGTTAAGTATGTGAATTATGTGATTTTAGATTTTATATCTGTTGAATGTAGGAAAATTTGTTGCAATTAGAACTTTGAACTGAAAATTATAAGCCTTAGAGGCGTGATAAACCAAAACCGACTTCATATGTGTGATTAGCATGATTTTTAGAGCCTATGGTGAAATATCATAAAATTACGATTCGTAATGTTTTAATTAGCCTATATTATATATATCTCTCTAGTTCTTGAGTTCATTATTTATTTTTTGGGGAGAGAGCTTTGCTAGAGAGAGAAGAAGAGGAGAAGCTAGAGTTTTGATGGAGATTCAAGGGGCAAACCCTAGATTTGAGCTAAGGTATGGTAATTTACTTGGAATTCTTGTATACAACTCATTTATTGCTTGAAAACATATAGAGATTTGAAGATTTGAAACCCTTTTGGGTTAGGGTTTTGGGTTATGTGTTTATTTGAGCTAAACTAAGAAATGGGAACTTGAATGTTTTGATTTTTCATGGTTGGAGTTCAATCTTGTGAATAATGTATGAAAGAAACTCTAGATAATTCATGAAAACAAGATTTGTTGAAAGATTGCTCATGGATCATGTATTTTGAATTTGTTTATGTAATGTATGAAATTGTAAAATGATGAGACCATGAAATTATTGTTGATGCAAGATTGATATGTTTAATGAGGGATTACACTTGTATCATGCTTAGTTATCATGTTTTTGAGTTGTTTTTACATGAATTTGGGCTTGGAAATGAGTTTAAGAAGTTTGCATCTTTGAACCATTTTTGGACTGTCTAATTTTGCCCAGACCACACGAGTGGCCACGGGCACAGCACGAGTGGAACATGAAGAAAAAAAGGGGGTTTAATTATTCTCCTTGGGCGCTTGAGCGGCCGATTTTTCCGCCCGGCCAGATTTGGACCGCACGAGCGATGAAGACTTCCACACGTGCGGAACCCCTGTTTCAACCCAACTTCAAAAAGGCATATCTCCTTCATCCTAACTTTGTTTTAGATGATTCTTAAGCCTAAATTCAAGCCCCGGAAGTCTAGTTTCCAATGTTGGTGGTCTCACATCCAAATTCTAAATACATAAATAGATATGTTCAAATTAGTGAAGGCTGTTCACTTTCTTTCTAACCATTTCATGTTATTTCCTCTCCTAACTCAGTTTCCTTTCGTTTTTTGCTATTTTCCTCGACACAGATTATGACCCATTGAGGTCTAATGAGTTTAGAACCCACAAAAATAATTAGTTAAAGAGCAAAGTAAGGAATTGATTTATTTGGTTAAGAAAAGATTAAGAGAAGTAAATTTGATCAAGAGAGTGATTCTATGTTCCGATATGTTGTGTCATGCGCTTTTTGTTTGCAGGTTATGATTCGAGGACCGGTAAACCATTTCGGGAAATCACTGTGAGTAATAGTATAGTAAATATATTTTTTCATTATTTATTTTGATTTATGTACGACATGATCTTCTAAATATCGTATTTTGTCAAAATCCACAAGTTTCCAAGGAATGTGAAATGATTTATGAACAAGAAATGTGAATTGTTGTAATATGATATGGTGGGCCCCAGGTATAGCGATCTTGTTTTTGCCCATCATGTATTGTGTTCCGAACTTAGGTTCCATGGTTGTTTGTTGTTGTCTATATCTTATTTCCATCTTTTAATTCCTTGTATTTGAGTTTTGGGATGTGTAAGGTAAGTTTGAAACAGGTTGGTTGGGTGTTGGAACAAATGGTTGCTGTCCAGAATTTGGCATCTTCACTCGAGCGAGGCTTCTTGCGCTCGAGCGAGCTTTCTGTGGTGTGTCCCTTCTCTTGAGCGAGCATTTTTGCGCTCGAGCAAGCATCTGTGTCTTTGAAAAACCTGAAGGTTGGAATTTTTCGCTCGAGTGAGGCTTTTGTCGCTCGAGCGAGAGAGCCCTATGTTTTGTATTCCTTTGCTCGAGCGAGA